GCTAGATCGTTGGCATTCCAAAGAGCTATGCGTCTTGGTTTTATTTTGCGTCGGGGCGTATTAATTTATCCATGATGAGTGTTAGTAGAGATAGCAAATTATTTATTTGCTCTGATTGTTTTTCTATTAGCTTTTCAAGTCTAGAGACGTTGTCTGTGTTTTGTGAATTGGGGACACTATTTTGAGAATGGTCCCCATGGCTATTCGGATTATTTTGGTTTCCTTGTACTGCTTGGGCATAGGAGATTGAAGTAGTAGTGAATTTAGGGGGACTGGGTATTTGATTGGTTGTCTCTTTGGCTCTGAGTTTAGGATACTTATTTGTATATAAGGTTTTGTAAGCTGAGCAGCCTTTGTAGTTAGCAGGATGGTCATCTTGACATAAGATGCCCTTCGCTGGGGTATCCGGTGATTTAGTGCACTGGTCAGTGTGGTGTGTACCTGCACATTTAACGCAGCGGAAGGTATGGTTGCAGTATTTCTGCGCGTGAGCGTACCTTTGGCATCTTTTACATTGCACTATCTCTTTTTTAACAAGCAGTGGTTCGAGTTTTACTATTGAGTTCATTAGACGACTGATGTTGTATATTTCCTTATTGTTAGGCTTTTGTTTTATGTCGATAAAAAATAAGGATAACGGGTCTTTCGAGACTCTATGCCTTATGTTACTAACGTTGATAACTTCGTGGCCGTGTTTTAAGAGTTCGAATTTTAGCTCGTCAATGTCTGCTGAGTGGTGGATGTTGCGTAGAACCACTCGAAAAGGTCTTTCGTGTTTGAGCTGGTATGTATGAAAGTTGGCGTTCAAGATCTTAAGTAGTTTGGTGAGTCTTCTACATGCATCAGGGTTTGACGGCAGGATTTTTACTTTGTTATTGTTGGTTTTTAGGTTGTAATCCTCTTTGGAGATATCTCTCTCTGTGGACTGAATCATCGTTTGTATGTCGATGACATCATCAACAAATATTGGTGGGGGAGGGGAATTTCTTTGGGTGTGTTGGTTTGCTGGTGGGTCTGCAATTTCCATGGAGTCGTTTGTGGATTCCCATATGGCGTATCTGTTGTATGTGGTTACTTGGTTTGTTGACTGTTCGTTCTGGGTGACGTTTGTGTTTATTTTTGATGCTCCTATTTTTCGCTTTTTAGAGTTTTTGGCGTCATTAGTACGGGGGGATCTGTTACACTTTTGCCACGGTGGAGGTAGCGCGGAGCAATTGTGGATTTGCTCAGGAGAGACTGGTCGTGATTCCTGGGCCATCATCGAGCTAGTTAATTCAAGTTGAATAACTAGTCGAGAGGCTATGAGGCTAGGATTCGGGTAGAGGTTAGGAGCGTAGGAACTTTTCTCTAAAAGATAGGAAACACTTGGCTGCGTTCACTTTCGACGGATGGGCGACACGTGTTGTTTTATGAACTTCACGGAGCACTAGACAAACGTCTGTACGCGACGGCACTCAACAGCGAACTCCATAGACAAAATTGAGAACGAAGCCTGAAGACTCATGCCGAGAGAGATTTGAGAAGAATTCTGCAGAAAGTTGAACAGGATCTGGAAAGGGGGAGGGTAGCCGAAGGAATGGACCAACATAATTTACCCCACATACAGAAAGGAAAGAACGGAAGAAGCAGAGTAGCGTACATACACTCGTACATGTTTCATACAGCGTACGAAATATACGCAAACATCCTTAATGAAAAGCTGAAGAGAGAGATAAAGAGAAAGCTTAGAGGAGAGGGAACATCGTCCGAAGACGATGGACGCGATATACGTGATACATCGTGTAATTAACAGAGAAGAGAGCAGGACGAGAAGAGGGCTGTATGCATACTTTATAGATTTGAGGGTGGCTTTTAATTGGATTGGTAGAAGCAGTTCGGAGAGGACGTTGGGATGCAAAGATGCAAAGGAATTTGAGGCGAAAGGTAACGGCAATCTACCAGGAAACGACGATATGATGAAGACAGGAAAGTGAAAAATGCCGAAATTTGAGACAACAAGGGGCGTGCGGTAGAGTCCCATGCTATTCAATGTATATCTGTTGAACATGGAGGAGGCTTTGTGAAAGAAAGGGGAGAAAGGGGTACATATAAGAAGGGAAAAGATGTGGCCATTAACCTACGTGGATGATATACCGACGATGGCTAGAAGGAGTGACAAGTGTGTTCAGAAGACTGAGAAAGTACCTGGAGAAGAAAAGACTCGCAATGAGCACAAGGAAAACGAAGATGATGCTATGTTGTTCGAGAGAAGAGGAAGGAAAAGGAAAAATATGAGAAGGAGCGAAACTGAACAGGAGAAAGGTTGAAGGAGGCTAAAGAAGTAAGAATTTGAGAGTCATATTAAAGAGGAGTTGCAAGATGTAAAGACACAAACGGACAGAGATAACAGAGCGACGATAGCAATAAAAAAGACGTAATACTGGAGAGACAGGCTATTTAAAGAATCATTCGATAGGGGATTGAGGATGGAGAGTGTGCTAGTGTGCGGATTCGCAATTTGGATACAGTACGAAAAAACGGGATTGGAAGGATAAAGAGAAGATATATTAAGGGTATGCTGGGATAGAGGAACGCCAAACTACATCCTGGTGGAGGAGACCAAGATTGAGAAGATCATGGACAAGGTACTAAAGAGGGCAGTCAGATATCAGGTATCAGATCTAGTGGAGAAATGTTTTTGGGAATTGGACAGAATGGGGAGAAGATGAGGGGAAGAGGTGAGATGGAAAGAGAGGAAAAGACAGAGGGGTGAAGGAATATATATAACTCAATATGGAACTCAATATATATAAGAGGATAAGGACAGAAAGCACGCCGCGTTATCTGAGAGAGAGAGGACAAAGAGGAAGGACAGATTCATTATTCGTGACAGCAAGATTCAGATGTGGAAATGAGAATAAGAACGTGGAATATGCATAGAAGTAGAAAGAGGCGATAGAATATCTGGCGGAGAGCTGCGGAGGCAGAAATGTGAGGTGGTACGTAAAGGAGACTTTGTGGATAAAGCGGCAGCGGGCGGGGGGAAATCAAGAGGATTTTGAGAGAAAGGGAAGAAAGAAGAACCTTCTTCTTACCACCTGGTAAGAGCAGGAAACAGCGCCAAAGAAAACAGTAAGGTAAAATAGGTTAAGTTAGTTATAACGAGAACTAGAGAAGTAAGTAGTAAAGCGTTAAAGAAAAATATTATTGTCGTATTGGGTAAAGATTATGTAGGATTGTTGGGCTAATAGCTGAAAGCCATTTACAGCCGAAAAGCAAGGATTGAATAAATAATGAAAAAAATAAAATATGTATATGTGACAATTAACTTACTCATAATATAGACCACTTTCTTTTCCTGCATTTTCGTCTACAGCACAATATAAAGTCGTTTGAGCACCCTGTTCAGCAGTTTTCATGAAAGGCTGGATCAACCTTACAATTGATGTCATACCTCGGAAAAACGATGCATCCATATATCGACACAATTCTGTTTTCACTACTCCAGGATGTAAAGAATATACGTGTATGCCTTGAATTTCAGCTGCTGAAAATGCGTAAAAAGATATAGATATAAACACAACGCAGTAATTATATGCGAATATTCAAAACTCAACAAAGCATGTACCAAATGGAATACTCAGATGTTTAGGAATAACACTAAAGCTTAAACGACTCCGAACAAAGATAGCGACAATCTCACTAGGTGCGAAAAGATTCTGTTGGATGGAGAGAGAAGTAGAAATAGGACACTGGACATCAGGAGTCAGCTAGGTTTCGATAACTAAAATTATTTCGTCCGGCAGTTCAACACTCGCACACAATAATCCTTTGTGTATCATGCGAATGGAGTGAGCATTCCAAAAGAGAATTTTTGCGAGCGTTACGGAGCGTCAAATGGTTACAGTATAGAAGGCCTGAAATTTATCAAATGTGGTACAACACTTGCACATTTTGCGTATAAGTGCGTTAGTCGTATCTAAAAGGATTTGAAGAGCCGCAAAAAAGCTTAATTCGCGCACGGCATCTTGTACCACCACCTTATACCAAACCCCACCAATCGCATAACGGTTCATATTCAAAAAAATCTGGCTAAAATTGAATTTTTTTATTTCACATTTTTAATTTACAAATCGTATCCACTCTACCAAAGCATCTTCCACGGTATTATTAAAAGATTGTCATTCGAAATTAAAAAAATGTCAATACAATTTTTTAAATTCTTCATAATTTTTAAGACCATCTATTAGTCTGGACATTTCACGACATAAAACTCAATTAAACTACATTTTTAATAAATTTCGAACAAAAGATAATAAACAAGAGTGTTTGCATGAGTGGTACTGTTTAAGCGTTCCAATTTTCACAAACTGAAGAACAAAATGATCTGAAACTTAATGTTTCACAATTTTGAAATAAAATTAACAAACTAAAAGGTTCCAGTCGGAAATACGAATACGAAAACGTTTCTAAATTTGCAATTTTGTGTTTGTCTTTGCCCGACTCTGATGCAAATATAGGAAGATCTTTTTCTTTTTCAGTGAAAGAAATACAAACGAGAGGTCAGAACGAATTGAAGCCAAGAATGGTTATTGCATTAAACAGAATTCGATTAGATTTTAGAAATCTCAAAGCACGTTGTTATTACAACTAACTCAAAAACTAACGAAACGCTACAACTTTTCAAGAATAGTATGTACAAAAAAGAAACAAACCCATAGGAACTCGTTCATATTCTTAAACTCCAAGAAACGGATGATAGTGATAATATGGACTGTTAAACTACCTTTATATTTTATTTGTATTTTGCATTTTATTCATTTTCTATACTTTGTCAATATTCTACATTTCATTCGTATTTTGTATCTTTTTCGTATTCTGTATTTTTTTATTTGCATTCTATATTTTACATCTATAAAATTTTAGGAACGTTTAAAATATTTGTGCAATTACCTACATTAATAGCTTATGAATAAATGAAATTATTTACAATACACACAATAATTATATGAACAGATATCTCTCCTAACTAATAGTTTTGTGCTTTTATTCAAATTCATTTTATTAATTTTTTAAATAATTTTGTTGAAAGAATTTAATTTATATCAAATGATTTATTATTTATTTCGTTAAAAGAAAGTGTCGTGCAAATCTTACCACTGAAATACATTCAAGCATACGTATGACTGTGAGTTACAGACTATGATTAATCTTCAAACTGCGACCTACAACCTACGCTGTATCACTCACGTAACGCAACGCAACGCACCGCGAGCGATGTGGCTGTAAAATGATAATGGGGCAAACTTGGCAGGGAAAGAATCGGGAATGCAAGTACATAAATTAGCGAAAGTCGAACATTTAAATTAATTTGAGGTGTGACCACTATCGTAATTACAATAAAAAAATGTTGACCTTGGAATTGAAGGTCTAGATCAATTTTGCGGCTACACTTTACTTTGTAACTCTCCACCGATCCGAAGGTGTTGAATCATCTGCCAAAAGCATAACAAATATGTAACTTTTTACATTCTGTACATTCTACATATACCTTTACTAATTATTATTATCTCTATGCCTTTACAAACATAGTAACGTATATACAAATGTTCTCCTTCTTCGCTTCTCAATTACACATGAAATATTTATTTTAAAAACGATTGAACCAGTTCGTTTAGAGCGGAAATAATTAAAATTACTACACCATATAATTTTTTGAAAGCATAATTCTGCTACTTACCGATTAACTGTTTATTCAATTCTTTAGTAAATAAGATATTGGCCAGCTTACTTTGACAATAAGCTCTAACAGGTGAGTAAGAACGTTCCAAATTTAAATCCTCAAAATGTATATTACCACCTGTAACATGATATATGATGTAGTATGTATAGGAATAACGTATATAAATCAATAAGTTTCATATTTTAAGTTAAATACTATTAGAAGTAACAACAAGACAGACTTTAATATAATACCTCACTCCTTCAATATAGATAACTATGCAAGTCTTTGTACAAACCTTTTCTATGTGTTTTATAGCTAAAAATGAAACGAAAATATCATATGAACATACAACTGCAAATATTTCATCAATCGCAATAAAAATATAAAATATGGGAAAAACCACAATGAATTTACTTTTAATATAATGGTATACAGCAATAAATAAATAATTTACATATTTTATATTAATTTATTGAATTAGTTTGAATGATGGAGTTAAGTCGAGTGAATTATATTAAATAATAAATGGTTTTCCTGCATAAAAATTCGATAATATTATATTATACCTGCGTTTTTATATTATTTTCGCATTTCGAAATTTCATACGCTTCTTTGCGATACAAAACTCATTTCAACAATTCCATTAGTTCGCTCTCAGAAGAAATGACTATGGAACCACAAATCCCAGCAACAACTAAAGCTGCTAAATCAACTCCTATCTATGTCGAAGCACAGGTAATAGAGTCAACCCCTAAATGATAACGCAGGAATTGACAGCCATAGCATAAAACAACTAAAAAACAGCTAATTCTTTGCTTTTCAATTTTTCTGAAATGCTTTATCCTATTTGCTGACTTTAACAATCGAAAAAATGATGCTTTAATCGGTCTTCCTGAATTTGAAACGTTACTTGGATCAACCAATGAGATCCTAGCATCATCCCAACATGCAACAATATATCCAACTATTAACATTATTGTGAAAAGAGTGTTCCGTACACAGTGAGTTCCGTACCATTTAATTATGTTATAGGAGACTATCGGATAGATAACCATGTGTAATACATGCGGCATGGACTATGATACTTATTATCATACGAACGCTAAAAGAGACACGTGATATAATCACAATTGCATAGAGATAATTATTATCTACACCATCGGCTGGCTACAGAGCCAGCATGTGATGGTCAGACGTTTGAATTATCTCCACCAATAACCTCTGACAAACACGTGACAGAATATCCTCACATGACGAATCGATCCAGATGATGCTACAAACGATTCATTTTAACAATTTTATTACCAAGCACAACTTTACTTTAGAAAATGTTTATATAAACTCCAAAAGCATGCGCAGACCGACGAAGTTTGATACAGAAGAAGTCCACTCTGTTAGTTTAGGTTGCCGACATGTAACAATAAGTCTATTATTTTCACGACACTGACGAGGAAATCGAAGAGAAATCTTAGTAATTTCAACAAATTTACAAGTGATGACTTACCATGAATCAATTAGAGATATTATCAGCACTGTTTAATCAGTGATGTACAACTACGTACCGAGCAATGGGTAAATACCTGAACCTGAACTTCATGCTTGAGACACGTGGCTAAAATCACTAACGACGAACCCACTTTAAATGACTGAATAAACGTAACATATTAAACTAATTGACGGCAAATAAATGTTTTATTTAATTTATTTAACTATGACTCGTGAATACGTGCCAGCACTTGGTTTAATACGAGTAAGATGTAAAACCACCAGCACGGAGTCGTTGGTGTAGTCTAATATGACAAGGTCGAAAAAACGAGTTCATAATAAGATGTATCAAGAATAATTTTAATAAAATTAAAAGATGTAATTATTATAAAAATTTTAGTCTCTCTCCCTCTCTCTCTCTCTCCCTCTCTCTCTCTCTCTCTCTCTCTCTCTCTCTCTCTCTCTCTCTCTCTCTCTCTCTCTCTCTCTCTCTCTCTCTCTCTCTCTCTCTCTCTCTCTCTCTCTCTCTCTCTCTCTCTCTCTCTCTCTCTCTCTCTCTCTCTCTCTCTCTCTCTCTCTCTCTCTCTCTCTCTCTCTCTCTCTCTCTCTCTCTCTCTCTCTCTCTCTCTCTCTCTCTCTCTCTCTCTCTCTCTCTCTCTCTCTCTCTCTCTCTCTCTCTCTCTCTCTCTCTCTCTCTCTCTCTCTCTCTCTCTCTCTCTCTCTCTCTCTCTCTCTCTCTCTCTCTCTCTCTCTCTCTCTCTCTCTCTCTCTCTCTCTCCTCTCTCTAGCTTTCAACTAATCATATACAGTTATTATTATTGCTACTTACCCAAATGTGCAGCTGATGAAACGTTAATTATTCTACAACCTGGTCCAGATTCTATTATTCTTGGTAACAGTAGAAGTGTTAAAAGAAAATGTGCCAAATGATTCACTTGAATATGAGTCTCGAAACCATTTTCAGTTTTTTCAAATGGATGCAAGAATACTCCTGCATTATTAATTAATATGTGGATGGCCGGTTCAGTTTTTAAAAGGTGCTGTGCACAGTTCTTAACGCTTGTTAAACTACTGAGATCCAACTGACAAATTACTAATTGTCCTGGTTTATCTTCAGAGTTTTTCTCACCGGCACTGAAATTTTATGTACCGTAAATGTTATAAAGTACATTGAACAGTAAATACAACAATACATACAAAAGAAAATTGAATTCTTCTCGAATTCCGCTATGAATTTTTAAACGGTGTAATAGCTTCAATAAATCAATATAATCAAATTAACGAATCCAATATAACAGTGTTTATGGAATGGAATAAAATAGTGACTCAGAAAATGTTTCCAATAGATAGATACAATGATAAACAATCTTAAAACGAACTGTGAATTTGTTTTTTAAAAATTATTATCCAAGTTCAAACTTAGTGCCTCTTGTGGAACAGTAAGCCATAAAAAATGGCTTCGGTCAAACATATATACATGTCGGAGATAAGAGGACACCGGTGCCTTCCCTCTGAAACCTCGGGAAAATCCATAAAAACATTATAATTAAAATCTACAGTTGTAATTAAACGATTTGCCGTCATTCTAACCAATTGTATTTGTTCGAGACTTGTGACAGTGAGCTTGGGCTCAAGGCGACAATTAGTCGCCGAACGTGGCCGCGGTCAACGGGATGAACTCTCCATCTAACAAAGGCATTGAGTAATCCTATAGCTCTCCTTAAAAGAAAGATTTGTAGCGGCACGTGGCAGTAAACATTCCAACGGTTTCTGTCCCGTAGCTTGCC